AATATATATATATATATAATATATATATATATATATATATATATATATATATATATATATATATTTAAAATATAGGGAAGTACCACCTCTATAGCACAGGCAGCCATGATGCTTCAACCAAACCAGCTTGACTTTGGGATCTCTCAAGGAAGTGAAGCAGCGGTTCATGCAACAAGGGCGTATATCAACCTGCCTGAGGACAATGCAGTGGTAAAATTAAATTTCAAGAATGCATTCAATCTCCTGAAAAGAGACGTGGTATTAGCAGCAGTACAAGAACATTTCCCTGGTCTCTTCCCTTTTGTTGCAGCTGGGTATAGCAAGGAATCAATGCTTCTCTTTGGAGAGCATGAAATCACATAATCGGAGGGTGTCCAACAAGGAGACCCTCTTGCACCATTTCTATTCTGTATAGTAGTTAGGGAAATCACAGTCAGACTGACCAGCGAGCTAAACATCTGGTTCCTAGATGACGGCACACTAGCAGGTACAAAGGAGTCCCTCCTACATGATCTTACACAGGTAATGACACGGGGAGAGGAAATGGGTCTCATCCTGAATCCATCCAAATGTGAAATCATCTCAGTCAATAAACAAGTGATAAATGCAGTGAGATCAAAACTACCAGGAGCAGCAGTCATTGCCCCCACAAATAGTGTCTTGCTAGGAGCACCTCTGGGAAGCAATGCCATTGAGACAATTCTCAGTTAGAAATTGGAAGAGTTAAGGAGAATGGAACAACGAATAGGCAATCTGGACACCCACGATGCCTTGTACCTTCTCACAAAGGGCTTGAGTCTGCCCAGGTTGACATATTTCCTAAGATGTGCACCTTTATATGATAACCCTATACTGCACGAATATGACAGTATCCTGAGGCAGATTTTTACGAAAGTACTTAACCTTACTCTAGAAGACGGGCAGCGGAACCAAGCTACACTTTCAGTCAGACTAGGAGGCATTGGTGTCCGCAAGTCATCACAGATTGCGCTACCTGCTTTTCTGTCCTTATGTATTGCATCCAGAGGGCTTGTAGCAGCGATTCTCTCTGAACATCTTAGGGACAAGATTGGAGTCCAGGACCAAAACTTCATTGACGGAGCCATGATCTCGGATAATCTAACGGGCTCTGAAACCAGACCTGCTCCCCCCAACAACTACAAACAATCGCACTGGGATGGTCCAATAGTGGAAAATATTGCCTCAACAGTGCTTCAGTGTGTGTCAGGGAAGGATAGAGCCCGCCTCCTGGCAGTGAGAGTACCTCATGCAGGGGATTTTCTGTTGGCTGTTCCCAACTCCAGCCTTGGCACACGCCTCGACCCACAGACCATCCGCATCAGTGTTGCCCTTCGACTTGCCGCCCCTATTCTCGCCGAACACAGGTGTATTTGTGGCAGTGAAGCAGCAGACCGATTCGGGTACCATGGTCTTGTGTGCCGTAAATCCGAGGGAAAGATTGCAAGACATGAGGAGGTTAATAACATTATCAAGAGGAGCCTCACAACAGTTGGATGCCCAGCAGTAAGGGAGCCACCCCAGCTATGCAGATCTGATGGCAGCCAGAAGCGTCCAGATGGTATCACCCTTCAAGCCTGAACAGAGGGGAAACAGGTGGTGTGGGACTATACATGTGCATCTACCTTGGCTGATACCTATCTCCAGTACACCAGGGAGGAAGGAGGGGCAGCTGCCAGCTTCAGGGAGTCCCAAAAGTCTAGAAAATATGGAGAACTTGCCCATTAGTATATGTTTGTTCCCATAGGCTCAGAGACCTTTGGCTCATGGGGAAAGAATGCATCTAAATTCCTTAAGGAGCTGGGAAAAAGACTTATCAGGGTAATTAGGGATCCCAGGGCAGCTAGTTTTCTGTTCCAGCGGCTCAGTGCGGCTGTTCAAAGCGGTAATGCCTGCTGTATTTTGGGCACACGCCCCAGCTCTGAGGAGCTAGATGAGATTTTCGCCTTATAATCGGTGATACACACGTAACAACATGTACTGTATATGCCACCTTTATATTAACAATGTATCTCTTAAATCTTCTGTACCATATTATGTAATAAAATATTCCTATTGGTAAAAAAAAATGTGAAAAGATGGGGTGGTAGGGAAAGTGGAATATTCAAACAGCTTCATTAAGAAATCCAAATATTCTTCCTTGAAGCCTTTTTATCCACTTCTCCGAGACTATGGGTCCCACAATTGACACCAGAGGTGGACCCCATTATATATATATATATATATATAATATATATATATATATATATATATATATATATATATATATATATATATATATTTCAACAAGTCGGCCGTCTCCCACCGAGGCAGGGTGACCCAAACCGAAAAAAGAAAGAAAATCCCCAAAAAGAAAATACTTTCATCATCATCATTCAACACTCACCTCACTCACACATAATCACCGTTTTTGCAGAGGTGCTCAGAATACAAGAGTTTGGAAGCATATACGTATAAAAATACACAATACATCCCACCAAACTGCCAAAATCCCAAACCCCTCCTTTAGAGTGCCAGCATTGTACTTCCCATTTCCAGGACTCAAGTCCGGTTATATAAAATAACCGGTTTCCCTGAATCCCTTCACTAAATATTACCCTGCTCACACTCCAACAGCTCGTCAGGTCCCAAATACCATTCGTCTCCATTCACTTCTAACACGCTCACGCACGCTTGCTGGAAGTCCAAACCCTTCGCCCACAATACCTCCTTTACCCCCTCCCTCCAACTTTTTCAAGGACGACCCCTACCCCGCCTTCCGTCCCCTACAGATTTATACGCTCTCCATGTCATTCTATTTTGATCCATTCTCTCTAAATGACCAAACCACCTCAACAAACCCTCTTCAGCCCTCTGACTAATACTTTTATTAACTCCACACCTCCTAATTTCCACACTCCGAATTTTCTGCATAATATTTACACGACACATTGCCCTTAGACAGGACATCTCCACTGCCTCTAACCGCCCCCTCGCTGCAGGATTTACAACCCAAGCTTCACACCCATATAAGAGTGTTGGTACTACTATACTTTCATACATTCCCTTCTTTGCCTCCATAGATAACATTTTTTGTCCCCACATATACCTCAATGCACCACTCAACTTTTTCCTTCATCAATTCTATGATTAACCTCATCCTTCAAAAATCCATCCGCTGACACAACTCCCAAATATCTGAAAACATTCACTTCTTCCATACTCCTCCTCCCCAATTTGATATTTAATTTTTCTTTATCTAAGTCCTTTGATACCCTCATCACCTTACTCTTTTCTATGCTCACTTTCAACTTTCTACCTTTACACACACTCAAAAATTCGTCCATTAACCTTTGCAATTTTTTCTTTAGAATCTCCCATAAGCACAGTAGCATCAGCAAACAGTAACTGTGTCACTTCCCATTTTGTATTTATTTCCCCATAATTTAATCCCACCCCTCTCCCGAACACCCTAGCATTTACTTCTTTTACAATCCCATCTATAAGTATATTAAACCACCATGGTGACATTACACATCCCTGTCTAAGACCTACTTTTACCGGGAAATAGTCTCCCTCTCTTCTACCCACCCTAACCTGAGCCTCACTATCCTCATAAAAACTCTTTACAGCATTTAGTAACTTACCACCTACTCCATATACTTGCAACATCTGCCACATTGCTCCCCTATCCACTCTATCATATGCCTTTTCTAAATCCATAAATGCAATAAAAACTTCCCTACCTTTATCTAAATACTGTTCACATATATGCTTCAATGTAAACACTTGATCTACACATCCCCTACCCACTCTAAAACCTCCTTGCTCATCCGCAATTCTACATTCTGTCTTACCTCTAATTCTCTCAATAATAACCCTACCGTACACTTTTCCTGGTATACTCAGTAAACTTATTCCTCTATAATTTTTACAATCTCTTTTGTCCCCCTTCCCTTTATATAAAGGGACTATACATGCCCTCCGCCAATCCCTAGGTACCTTCCCCTTTTTCATGCATTTATTAAACAAAAGTACCAACCACTCCAACACTATGTCCCTCCCTGCTTTTAACATTTTTGTCATGATCCCGTCAGTTCCAGCTGCTTTATATATATATATATATATATATATATATATATATATATATATATATATATATACTATATATATATATATATATATATATATATATATATATATATAATACGTTACCAGCCGTATCCCACCGAGGCGGGGTGGCCCAAAAGGAAAAACGAAAGTTTCTCCTTTCAAATTAAGTAATATATACAGGAGAAGGGGTTACTAGCCCCATGCTCCCGGCATTTCAGTCGCCTCTTACGACACGCATGACTTAAGGAGGAAGAATTCTGTTCCACTTCCCCATGGAGATAAGAGGAAATAAACAAGAACAAGAACTAGAAAGAAAATAGCAGAAAACCCAGAGGGGTGTGTATATATATGCTTGTACATGTATGTGTAGTGTGACCTAAGTGTAAGTAGAAGTTGCAAGACATACCTGAAATCTTGCATGTTTATGAGACAGACAAAAGACACCAGCAATCCTACCATCATGTAAAACAATTACAGACTTTCGTTTTACACTCACTTGGCAGGACGGTAGTACCCCCCCTGGGTGGTTGCTGTCTACCAACCTACTACCTAATATTATATATATATATATATATATATATATATATATATATATATATATATATATATATATATATATATAATATATATATAATAATGTTTTCTATTATTTCTATTGTTTTCTATTATTTTTTATTATTTCTCGCAACCTCACTGCAAAACAAAAAACATACCCCAATCCACTTGCAGTATCAGCCAAGATTCCTCCTAAACTGAACTGCCCGGCATCTCCTGGTCACTGTTGATCTTTCGTCAGAGAAAATTACTTGAAGCGTGTCCTGGTCATGAGGATACGCTTATAATGATGGTAGTTCTTTAACGGCGGGCGGCAGCAGCGACCGCTAGCTTACCAGTGCTGAATAAAGGATGTGGTTGTCACAGTAGTAGCAGCGACCGCTGGTCCCCGTGCTGAAATGCAGTGCTGAGGTAGTGGTCTATGTTCACTATGGCAGACCACAGCAGGAGCGACCACTGGCTTACCCGTGTCGGAGGCAGTGGTCTGTGTTCACTATGGCAGACCACAGCAGCAGCGACCGCTGGCTTACCGTGCCGGAGGCTGTGGTCTGTGTTCACTATGGCAGACCACAGCAGCAGCGACCACTGGCTTACCGTGCGGAGGTAGTGGTCTGTGTTCACTATGGCAGACCACAGCAGCAGCGACCGCTGGCTTACCGTGCCGAAGGCGGTGGTCTGTGTTCACTATGGCAGACCACAGCAGCAGCGACCACTGGCTTACCGTGCCGGAAGCAGTGGTCTGTGTTCACTATGGCAAACCACAGCAGCAGCGACCACTGGCTTACCGTGCCGAAGGCGGTGGTCTGTGTTCACTATGGCAGACCACAGCAGCAGCGACCACTGGCTTACCGTGCCGGAAGCAGTGGTCTGTGTTCACTATGGCAGACCACAGCAGCAGCGACCGCTGGCTTACCAGTGGTCTGAGTGTCTCCTCAGGCTCCACTCTCTCTCTTTTTCTCTGACACTCACTCTACCTGAGGCCGTCACACAATAAGAGCTTGCCAAGCACCGCCAACGCAACTCATCCTTCGTGACATTTTTTTCTGGTTATGACATTGTGCATTACATACCAGTATATACAATGAATCATATACAACAGCAAACAAAACCTGCCATACATACTGAATTATATACACCAATATACACCCAATTATTCAGTACAACATACAGAGCGTATCGTAAGCAATATCGTGAAAAAAGTGTGGGCATTTATGTCTAATAACCATTCATATGTGTATACTCACCAATATGTATGTACCTGCAGAGGTCGAGTGTTAGCTCCTGGCCCCAGCCTCTCAATTTGCAGTCTGCCAGATTCATTCCCTCCTAGCCTCGTGTGCCCTAATCGTACCTGTCCTTAAAACTATGTATGGGATCTGCTTCCATCACTCCCTTGTGGGTGATAGAACGCCATCTGTACAGTACCCTGTATACATCACGACATGTACAGGACCCTCTGAACAATACGATTATCACGAGAGTACTTACCATGTGTGCAGTTTCCTGTGTAAACCACCATGTGTACAACACTGTGTACACCCTCACATATGCACCACCGTGTGTGACAGCATACACGGATTTCTATTCCAAGTTGTCAATAGCAATTGAGTTCTGTGATAAGCTGTAGGATGCTGTTCCTGATACGCTGTGTATACTGATATGCATGATGCATTTTGTATACTAAATTATATGATTCAGTGTATATTGGTATGTATAATTCAGTGTATGACAAATTTTGTATACTGGTAGTAGTAGTTGTAGTAGTAGTAGTAGTTACTAGTTTTCAAAGGCACTTGTCGATAGACACTTGGCCTATTTCGTGTGCAGTGATGCATATTATTCGGTGTGTATGATGCACTGTGTATAATGGTGTGTAATGCGCACTATAATAACCAGGAAAAAATGTCACGAAGGATGAGCTGCGTTTGCGGCGATTGGCAAGCACTCGTTATGATGATTGTCTCAGGTATACCTGGAGAGGGGGGTCAAAGCCCCCTCGGCCCGGTCTGTGACCAGGCCTCGCGGTGCATCAGGGTCTGATCAACTAGGTTGTTACTGCTGGCCGCGCGCGCAAACCGATGTACGAACCACAGCCCGACTAGTCAGGTACTGGCTTTATGTGTTTGTTCAGCGCCTTCTTGAAAACAGCCAGGGGTCTATTGATAATTCTCCTTATGTATGCTAGGGAGGCAGTTGAACAGTCTTGGGCCCCTGACACTTACTGTGTTGTCTCTTAGCGTACTCGTGGCGCCCCTGCTTTTCATCGTAGGAATGTTGCATCTCTTGCCGAGTCTTTTCCTTTCGCAGGGAGTGATTTTCGTGTGAAAATTTGGGACTAGTCCCTCTAGGATTTCCCAAGTCAGTGTGAGAGGAAAAAAAATAGTGGATAGAGGTTGTGGGTACGTCCAGACTACTGGTAAGCAAGCGGTCGTTGCTGCTGTGATCTGAAATATTGAACACTCAGACAACTGTGTCCATGTCGTCTAATTAAAACATTTACTATGGGGTAGAAATCACAACAACCAGCCAAGCTCTGAACCAGCTCATAATAGCTACCAGGCAATTACTGTCTCACGATTTTTCCCGTGACTTTAATAAATAAATGAGTTAAGGGATAATAAAGCCGACAGAGGCATCAGGACGGGAGTACAAAGGAAAATAAAAGTTGGCCTTCTCATCATGGGGATCAAACTGTTTTGACTACCTCCCGCAGGATGACTGTTGCATGCATAAAAAATATATACAAAACAAACAAACCTTGTTATCATTGGGTCCTCATCCCTGGACCCATTATGTAGCTCTGTAACCTCTTGGCCACCGTCCAGGGGATGGATTTGAGAGCCATACAGGGCAATGGGAGCGGGAAGTAATCAGATTTGATCTTCTACCTGGAGGGTGTTCCGGGGGTCAACTCCCCCGGGTGGTAATAACAAGTGAAGCTGACTAAACTGTGTTAATTCGTGATTTATTTTATGAAGACGCTTAATGGACTTGTTTTCAGCGTGGAAATATTCTAGGCAGTGATTTTAAAATGTAGGTTAAATGGATGCAGCAGACTGTGTTTAACCTAGCTAGTGTAGACTACCACAACACAACTTACTCCCACCAGTACTTTAAGGTTCGACAGTGTATTATAATGCCTTTATTTCTAGTCATAAACCCATGCTGCAGGAGGTATGTGGCATTAGAAATACAACATGGGTAAACAGGTTCAGGAACTGAACCTGTGTTAGTTTAGCTAAGCATGATTTAGTGACCTAATATGTAGTAATCACACTAGTCAACGACACGTGCGGCAGTTAGTGAGAAAAGAAAGCCGGTGTCCCGTGGCCTGGTAGGCAACGCTCTCGCCTTACACACTGAGTGTCCGTAGTTCAATATGCGGCAGTAGTTCAAGCTATGGCCGTAGTTAAATATACACCTGCTGTCCCCAGTCACCTAGTAAGCACAGTAGTAGGTACCTGGGTGTTAATCGACTGGTGTGGGTCGCATCCTGGGGGACAAGATTGAGGACCCCAATGGAAATAAGACAGACAGTCCTCGATGACGCACTGACTTTCTTGGGTTATCCTGGTGCTAAACACCAAGATAGGTTTAATTAGCTTCGGCAAGCTCATGATTATTCTCTTCAAATCGTTTGTTCCCTCTAGGCTGGAATACTGCTGTACACTAACTGTCCCCTTCAATGCATGCGAAATTGCTGACCTGGAGAATGTACAGAGAGCTTTCACGGCACACATAAGTACGATAAAGCACCTAAATTACTGGGAATGCAGGCGAGAAAGATACATGATAATATACACTTGGAAAATCCTAGAGGGATTAGTACCAAACATGCACACGAAAATCACTCCCTACGAAAGCAAAAGACTCGACAGGAGATGCAACATTCCCTCACTGAGAAGCAGGGGGGGGGGGCACGAGTACACTAAGAGACAACACAATAAGTGTCAGGGGCCCAAGACTGTTCAATTGCCTCCCAGCATACATAAGGGCGATTACCAATAGACCCCTGGCTGTCTTCAAGAAGGCGCTGGACAGGCACCTAATGTCAGTACCTGATCAGCAGGGCTGTGGTTCGTACGTCGGTTTACGTGCGGCCAGCAATAACAGGCTGGTTGATCAGACCCTGATCTACCACGAGGCCTAGTCTCAGACCGGGCTGCGGGGGCGTTGACCCCCGAAACTCTCTCCAGGTAACCTCCAGGTAAATATGACTTGTGAGGGATCGTAAGCTCATGGGTCTATATTACTCAGGTCAATATTTACTAATATACGACGCTATTAATGCATGACAGACAAGCTGTGAATGATGTCATTCTACAGCTGACATCTCAGGCCAGGTCAGTGGTAGCATGAGTAATGATTTTACATGTGACTCACTCACCATCCTCATCATTACTTTTGTAGCTTGTGAGTTCATTACCTTTATACCTAGTTCATCTATCAAAACTTTGGGGGCCCAGTCCCTGGACCCATTATGCACCTCTGTAATCTGTAAATACCTTTGTAACTTGTCATGATTGTGACCAGACCTACCTGGAGTTCATTACCTTTGTAAATTGTGATTTTCATTACCTTTGTAAATTGTGAGTTCATTACCTCTGTAACTTGCTCAGCCATCAAAACTTTGAGGCCCAGTCCCTGGACCCATTATGTACCTCTGTAATCTTTTGACTACCGCCCACAGGATGGGTATGGGGTGCATAATAAAGATATTAAACTAATTAAACTAACTCAGTGAGTCAGGACTAACACACTAAAGTAGCCATATGAGTAATAACTTCACTTATGACTCACCCCCGTGAGTCAAGGCTCCCACACTACTCATGTCTCAAGATCTGTCAGACTGGATGACGTTTGTACATGGCTTATTAAGGTGTGTGTGTGCTTAACTGCATGTCTGTGTATTTTAGGAGTGCATGATAGAATGTGTGTGTGTGTGTGTGTGTGTGTGTGTGTGTGTGTGTGTGTGTGTGTGTGTGTGTGTGTGTGTGTGTGTGTGTGTACTCACCTAATTGTGGTTGCAGGGGTCGAGACTCAGCTCCTGGCCCCGCCTCTTCACTGATTGCTACTAGGTCCTCTCTCTGCTTCCTGAGCTTTATCATACATCTTCTTAAAACTATGTATGGTTCCTGCCTCCACTACTTCACTTGCTAGGCTATTCCACTTCCTGACGACTCTATGACTGAAGAAATACTTCCTAACGTCCCTGTGACTCGTCTGAGTCTTCAGCTTCCAGTTGTGACCCCTTGTTCCTGTGTCCCCTCTCTGGAACATCCTATCTCTGTCCACCTTGTCTATCCCCGCAGTATCTTGTATGTCGTTATCATGTCTCCCCTGACCCTTCTGTCCTCCAGTGTCGTCAGTCCGATTTCCCTTAACCTTTCCTCGTACGACATTCCCCTGAGCTCTGGGACTAGCCTTGTTGCAAACCTTTGTACTTTCTCTAACTTCTTGACGTGCTTGACCAGGTGTGGGTTCCAGACTGGTGCTGCATACTCCAGTATGGACCTAAGATACACAGTGT